CACCTGCCCAGCGCCAGCATCACATTCCCAGTGCCAGTATCACATTCCCAGTACCAGCATCACTGCTCCAGTGCCAGTATCACATTCCCAGTGCCAGCATCACTGCTCCAGTGCCAGCATAACATTTCCAGTGCCAGCATCACATTCCCAGTGCCAGCATCACTGCCCCAGTACCAGTATCACCATTCCCACCCCAGTGCCAGCATCACATTTCCAGTACCAGCATCGCTTCTCCAGTACTAGCACCATCTTTCCCAGCACCAGCATCTACAGTCCAGTACCAGTGTCATTGTACCAGTACCAGCATCGACTCCCCACCCTGCATCAGCACTGGTACCAGCATCCCTGCCTTAATACCAGTATCCCCAGTACCAGCATCTCCACCCCAGGCTGGCACCAGCACTACCAGTACCACTATCTCCACCTCATCCAAGTACTGACATCCCTGGTACCAGCATTGCTACCATCCTGGTACCACATCACCAGTACCAGCACCACCAGTACCAGCACCACCAGTACCCACACCCAGCACCCTATCAGGAGCAAGACCCCCCAGGTGACTCCCCAAGGGCCACCCCACAGGCCCCACCATGGGCAGGTGGCACCAGGACAGCTCAGCCAGGGTTGGGAGCTGCGGTTACCCCTCAGGGCAGAGAGGGGGAGGACAAAACCCACCCGAATTACCCCCAACCTGTGCAGGACAGGGCAGGACACACGTGTTGGTCGCCGGGCCCGGCCCCTCGGCCACAAAAACCCCCTTCCAAAAAAGTGAGGGTGGTCGGGATGGGGAAGGGTCGGCCCGGGAAACCAGCACGGGGATGGGAAACCATCACTGTCACCACTGTGACCACCCTGGTGACAGTGCAGGTGGCCACAACGCCTCTGCCAGACCCATAGATGAGCACTGTGCCCATCATTACTTTTCCCACTCCACACTTTCCTGGCCCTGGAATTTTTGTCCCGGGATGAGGACCTGGCCACGCCAGGGCAGGATTTTCCACTGGGTGGCACCTCATTCCCAGGAGGGTGGTGGGGAGCAGCACCCTGTGCCCAGCCTGGAAAGACGCTTCCAGCTGGGAGAAAGTCCCCTTTTCCAGAGGGAGGAAAACCACAGGGATTTGCATGGACACCGGGAGAAAGGAGGCGTGGGTGGGGAGGGGCCGGCTCGACCCGCCCGGCCGAGCTGGGACCGGGATGTCAGGGAGCCCCGAGGGCGTCTGGGGACAGGGGGCTGGTCCCCCAGCGCCGGGGAAATCAGGTTGAACCTCCCTCGTTTCCAACCAGCCCTGTAATTAAGCGCTCGAGCCACGACGAGGAGGAGCAGGAACCAACCCTGGGAAGGAGCCGTGGCTGCCTCAGGGTGTGAGGCAGGGATGGGCTGAGCCCGGAAAACTCAGCTCATAGCAGGCTGGCCAGCAGGCATCGCTGGCTGGGGCCAGTTCCATGTGTTCCCCCTGTTTTCCCTTCTCCTCCCCGGCCCGGTGTGCCCGGTGCTGCCCCAGGGCTCCAGATACTTTTCCACAGGGCGATTCAGCCCCGCGGGGATCCGGGATCCACCCACGAGGGATCCCCGCAGGGATCCACCCACGAGGACCTTCCCCCCC